TACCAGTTTCAAGAAGCATTGGTTTGCTTCAAAATGAAGACAAAGCAGAAGCCATCTACAATGCTACGTCCTAGACAAGTGCTAGGGACCTCTGGAAGTGACAGACATCATGGCATCTAGATGACTCACATGGACAGGCAGTGCTATCTGCTTTGCGGAGGGATCTAATCTCCTAGGAGAAAGGGACCCTGGGGACACCACACCAGTCCCTTTGCTCCTGAATCAGGTGCGTGTGGTCCTAGAGCAATGCAGCTCCCTGCTGGCCCCGCAGCGAGGCAGAGACATGCAGTAGAACTGTGGGAAGGTCTGGGTTGCCGCTAAACGACTTACACTGCACATCTACTCGAATGGACTTGATGGCAGGGACCCCAACCCCATTTTCTGCTTTACAGTAATAGCGGCCCCCCTGCAGCCTTTGGATCTTCTCAATCCGAAGGGTCTCGTTAAGCACTGACGTCTCTTGGAATTTGTCCGATGCGCTGCCAGCGGTTTTGGTCCATCTCACCTGCACGAGAAGAACAAGAGAAATGCAAGCAATCGGTGACACAAACTGGAGATCCCAGGGGACAGCAGCACTGCCTTTGCTCCTCTTCCCCAACCTCCCTAGCCATTCTCAAAAATGGGCCCTACAGCACCACCAGACCTTACCAAAGTTCAACTGCTGGTCTCAGTAGACCAGCTGCTGACTCTCATCCATCACCTCCACATCTGAGTGTCCAGGATAACCCCTCAGTTCACCCAGACAGACACTTCACATTTACCACTCCTGCTCTGGTCCTGTAAACCCAAGAACTTAGTTAGTTTTATATGACTACCTGTACAGCACAGGACTTTCAGCATTAAGCCTTGGGACCCCATGTGGCTGGTAGGGCAGCAGCAGACACCAGCTTACAGCTACAGAGCTTTTATTGCAATCAACACTCTTGCATCTTTCTCTGGACAGAAAGGCTATTTCTGCTGTTTGCTTTTCTAAGTAAGAGGGAGAAAATGCAGTTGCTATCTGGCTCTTGCCCCTTTTCCACAAGGAACCCCTGTGTATGTTATTTTTATAAGTCATCCTTTTGCAGTACACAAGCTTGTACTTTGATTTTAAAGATACAGAAAAGGAAAGAAAAAAATCCCTTCAGATTTCAAGCTATCTCTTGCATTTTTTGTCCTTACGTTACATGTCTTAAGAGCCTGGCTTGTGGGGGCAACGGAGCTGCATGATATTTCATAGTAAATGGTGACAAGAGGACAGGACTCCTAAAGATTGAATGATTATTCTTATGTCTGGAATGAGGTACAGCCCTAGCAGTGGCGATACAAGCTTCCCCCCTTGTTTTCTGCAGTCCAGAAAATGAAAGGGAGAGATGGCTTTTCTCAGCCCATTGGTTTCTCGTAGCTGCAACCTCCCTTCTAAAGGTTGCTGACTGGTGGTCTCCCACACCGGTGCGCATTTAGGCTCTGGGACTGAGATCCAGCAAGATCAGCCAACAGAAAGGAGATAGACTTTCCATTCAGCATCGGTCACAGTTGAGATGGACCAGATACCTTGACTCCTTCCCCCAGACTTTGCCTACAGCTCACTACCACCACCTGATTGATGTTGATGCTCTAGAAAGAGCAGGAGTGTCTACATCCCATTCCCAGAGCGCTAGGCTGAGCAGATTTTCAGAGCTAATGACCATGGATTTATTTAGCCTTTGTAGGCTTATTATGAAATTGCCTGAGAGCCCCAAGACTCTCAGAGTTTCCTGTTTGCAAGGACACTTCAGCCAGCTCTTTAATTGTCTCAATTTCAACCTCATTTAAGTATTCTGGCCACATTTTCATACTTTAATGACTGGATCATAGAAGGGAAAAGAAAAGATTAAACAAAGGTTAGGATAAGAACTTAGCTGGGGAAGAAATTCATCTGTGAGAAGGGAGAGCAGAGATAGGACACAAGCCACATTTTACATGCACAGGCTCCAGCCTCCCCGATCACACCTGGTTCCACGCTCTGGTGTCCCCTGTGCATGTCCAGGCAATGACAAGCCACAACGTTGCCCGCTAGCATGCTGTCTGCATCAGGCTCTGCTCCAGCAATCTCTCTGGCTACTCAGGCTCAAATCCTCACAACCTGCCAACACCTTCCCACATTTTCAACATTCTTAGGCAGGGCCAGCCCTACCGTCTTCCTCATTTCTGATGTACACAGCTATCATCTGCTCATCACTGTCACGAGCCTAGGCTGGTCATTTTTGCTGGCCTGGCTCAGATAATTTCCTTCGTATTGTTTCCAGGATATCCTTTGATGGATAAGCCATTTCAAATCCTGTTGGCTGAGTCTCCCTCTCCTTTGTCATCGCCTCTTAGCCAAGTAGCTCCGCACAAGCAAGTCCACAGAAGCGTTGATTAGCGTATGCAGATGTATGGCTTCTCAGCACGAGTATCTTTGGCAGGATCAGGGAAGGGGGCCAAGACGGCACACGTATTGCGCTTGGCTCCCTTGAGTGTATTCTGGCACATCCATCCTCGTAGCACGCACCAGCTGCCACTCCTACCACACTCAGTCCCAGAGCGGGCAGAACCGTGCTCTGGTCCAGTATCTCTATAGACACATCCACACTAACAGCAGCCTTTATGTGGAGGCTACAAAGAAGTGCCACAGGGAGCACAGGTGACAGGCAAGACTGAAAGTTTACCTGTGGCCGAGGGTGTCCTGTGACCAGACACTGCAGGACCAGCGTGTCCCCCTCCCGAATTGTGTAAACGCGTTCACTTATGTTGTCTTCCTTCACCACGCACGCCTGCCCAGCATGGATGATTTGGGCCTGAGCAGGAGCTGTGGAGAGGAAAGAAGAGGTAAAGAGGGAAACAAGCAGCACCCCAGCCCCTTACACCCACTGACCGGGGTGGCTGCTCCCACAGCAGGGTGGAAGAGCCACCTCTTAAGCCACAGAGGGGAAAAGCCAAAGAGTTCTGGGTATGAGACACAAAGGTCTCAGGAGATATAAAACTGAGCCATTTTCCCCATCTCCTGGGTGGCTAGTATCAATTGTTATTTTAAAACCTTTTGTCGTGTTGGGATGAGCAGCTCTAAGCACTGAACAGCAGAATATGGAATTTTTTTGGTGGACCCTCCTGCACAGGCTGAGGACCAAGAATTCCCTGCTCTCATCTCTCCCAGAGAGTACGTGCAAGTGGCTAAAGCAGGGACCTGGTCAAATCACAACTGCTCTACGCCTGTCTAAGACAGGCCTGATCACTATGATTTACCTTGCAGGGGACTGGGATAACTACCAAGCAGAGACGGAAAGGTCCGTGAAGCTCTGTGCAGCTTTTAGCACACGTCCCTAGAACAGGCATACCACACGTTGCAGGAGAAATGAGTCTTTCCCAAATTACACAGGAACCTACCTCAGCCCTGAGCCAGAGGAACAGCCTCTGCAGGATCGGGGGACTCAAAATCTCTAGGGATCTCTCCAGCTAGGGCTCCAAGCGGAGCCCAGTTACTGCCAGGAAAACAAGTGAAGAGCAGTGCTGTGGAAAAATACGTGGAAAGAAAGTTCCCAGAACAAAGTTTAAAAACTTCATGCCCCCCAAATGGCAACTATGTCCCACTGTAGCCCTGACCAACAGCAGGGAGAGAGAAGCTCCAGGAAAACAGGGGTTTTTAAAGAAAAATGCCTCTGCTCCAGAGTCCTGTGCAAACGACACTTAGGGCCCTACTCCAAAAGGGTTTGTGTGATCACTGAAACGGCTGAGATGTATTGAAGGTGACTGTGCTCCCCAACGGGACACATGTGCTTGTTTGAGGGGAAAACTCCAGTCACACTTCAAGGAACAGAGAAACCCACAAATATGTCTAAGAATTAGTGCCTCAGTGACAGTCCCCCAGGGATACCTCCCCGTCTTGCTACAACACTTCCAGCTCTGGAGTCACAGCTCTAGCTCCCATTAGTGAAATACAATGCAAATGAACAAACCGCTGTGGAGATGATCAAAGGGTTTAAAGCAACAAGCTTTAGCAAGCCTTCTGAAACAAGCACAGATTTTGCACAACCTGTTAAAGCTGAACTGAGCACGCACTTTTTTCTCAAGGTTAGTTTGAAGCTTCAAAGACTACTTTTTCAATTTCTTTCCCCCCCCCTTCATTCTTTTGGCATAATCAAAATGCTCTAAACCCAGTCACCTGGCCAAGGAAGGTGCTCAGATTTACGCTGGTTTAATCCACCAGCAGCACAGACCTAGGGCAGGCTGTGCTGGGGCAGTGGAGGACATTTGCCTTTGAGGTCAGCCTGTACAAACTGGTGTCACCACAATGCCCTGATCAAGTAGCAGTGACACAAGACTGGACACAGGGCTAGTGGGCAGCAAGCTGCTCTTGCTGCTGGGGCTCCACAGCCTGCCACGGCCACCCAGCACCCAGGCAACAGCACTGCATGTGTAGCAAGCAACTCCCTCTTTTTGCATCTCTTCTGTCTTTCCAGTGAGGTGGCACTTTGTTAAAATCATTATTACTGTCCAAACTGTTGACTAACAGAAGCAACATGTGTATTTGAATGATATAATGTCACAAACACAGCCAAATCCCTCAGCCTCTCCTGTCTTCTCCTTCTGCAGGGCTCCCAGGAACGTGCCTGCCATCACTTGAGTATCACGGAATGCTGAAACCGACTGTCAAAGCTTCACTGATACGACTGAGCAGACGAGTGACCTTCCCCTGCCTGGATGGCAGAAGAGTCTTGTTGAACCCAGGAGAAAGCAGAAATCTATATGTGCTTACATACATCTGTGTTTGTATACACATACATGTATGGACATACATACAGGTATGTAAATATATTAAGTAAAATAGTGACTTATCAGAAAAAAAATCATGAATGCTTTTTAAGAGGAGTAATCCAGAAGCCTATATAACCTTTGCCAGTATGCCTTAATCCAAATGACAATCCCTTTCAGCCCTGGGATCAGACCTCTGCAGACCTGCCATCACACCTTTAACCCCATGTGCACTGCAGAGCATCGCTCAGAGTGCTGAGACTCAGGCTGTGATGCTGAAAAAAAATCCCTGCTCTATGATTAAAAGAGAGACTCTGTCCCTTCCCATCCTGTACCATATTCCTCCCCATCCCTGACCTGTGCTGCCTGCATTTCAGTGGGGTCCTGGCACCCTGCAGCAACAAAACTCTTACGATCTCTCTTCACAGTCTCTGGGCTGCATTTGCCTGCTGGTGGCTCTATTCTCCCTTTGCAAACATGACCTTGCTGCAAAAACTAATTTCCAGCCACCCCAAGGAGAATCAGAATATTTATCTGTAGCTCTAGCTCCCAGTGAAATGTTTCCTTAAGTCACTCTGTTGTACCCCACATGGTATACAACTTAGACTCTTTTTCCTTTGGCCATCCCATATCCATAATTTAACCTGTCTTCTGCAACTCTCTCCTGTCACTCACCTAAAGGCATTTCTACATGGGGAATTTCCACAGTAAAATCATTAGGTACAGTGGTACAGGATTAGAGGGGTTTTGTGCAACTGCTCTGGTGCCAAAATACCTTGTGGTAATTTGTTGGTGTCTGAGTTTGATAGAAATATTATTTAAACTAATCCTTATATGGCACTAATCTATGGCAAAACCCTAGGGATAAGCCCTGTGTCATAATTTTGTCCTCTCCTCCCAGATTCTCCCTAGTTCCACCAGGCTGTAATGAAGCTTACAAGCAAGGGTGTGCACATCCAGCTTTGTTTGTGGGTGTCTTAACCTGCTTGTGTTACCATCACTAGTACCTTTCAGCAATATCCATTGGAAACAGACATTCCCTTACGTGAATCCCCACTGTTTAAGCTGTAACATCTCTCTTGCAATCATAGCACCAGATCCCCAGTAGAACAACCACCATTTTTCTATGTCTTAAGCCCCATATGAACACAGATCTCTCAAAAGGGATCTCAAAGCCTGGGGTTGTCTTGGAGAAAAAAGCACACGCATAGATGGCATAGAAATCTGGAAACTCTGCCTTTGGTTACAACTTGACATTAGTGAAGTGGTGGGGGCTGAGCAACAAACCAACCCAGCTCTTATGGGATTGCATTAAATCACAAGAGGAGATTCGGGAAGGTCTCGGTTCCAGGCTCAGCCTGCCACAGCACACAAAAGCTGGGAAAGTCACCCCACACCGTATTACAGATGGGCAGAGACATTGTGAGGATTAATTGCACTTTTAATGTGCTTGAACAGAAAGAATACATTATTGTTTGACATCATCCCAGGTCTCCTGGAGGATTTCAGCATGCAGACAGTTTGCGCATTGCCAGCACAACAGGATGGCAGGACCATGCCTGTCAGAGTAAACAGTTTCACAGAAGGCCCTAGGAGGGAAAAGAAGGGCCAGAGCAGGTGCTGGAGATGAAGCCATGATCTCAGCTGTTCTCAGCAGTGCTCCATGAAGAACAACCTATGCACAGATACAACCTGCCCTGCTAAGTCCTGCTGGAGCAGAAACCCTTTCCCTCAGGCTGGCAAACCCTAAAGCAGAGGTCGAAGGAAGACCTCTGATGACCTCTGTGGGGAAGAGGGGACAGGTTGCTTCCTACTCTTTTTCCCCAAAATTTTGGGGGACAGATACATCATCATTTCCCTTCCACTTCCATGTGACAGATCAACTTAGCAAAGGCTCCCAATACAAAGTCTTCCAGAGAAACTGGGCCAGCCAAATATTGAGTGCCAGAGGCTTTACAAAGGCAAAATTCAGGCTCTGAACATGCAGCATTAGGCCCTTCCTCGGCAAAAGGCTGCCTTGCAATGCAGTTGGCCTCTGCACTGAGATTTCCTACTATGCTTTCACTTGATATATTTACACATTAAAACTAAAGGAAATTGGAGTGGATAGAATAACTTTATTCCCAGTGCAGTGTACTGTACAATGTTATTATTACCATAATCTGGAAAGTTTATGAGACTCTTGGTGCTTAGAGGTTGCTACTATCATTAAAATGCAGAAAAGGAGAGAGAAATGGTATTTTGGAGAGGACTGAGTGATCTGTATTTGGTTCACAGGTCTAGCCATTCATCTTTTGGAGCCTGAGATCCCATGGCTACAATGGCAATGATGAGAGCTCCTTCACAGAGAGGGTGGTGAGCGACAGATGGTGCACCGACACTCTCTCAGTCATAGTCAGCAACCATAGGGGCAAGGCTGCTCACCCCTTTTGCAACACAGCATCAACTACACTTTGCTGCTGCCTTCTTGGCAGGCTAACACTAGCCATCACTGTTAGACTCTGCCCCACCACCACCTTTGCCACCTGCAGATGTCCTGCAGACAGTCTCAAGGAGGAAGAACTTTCATCTCCCAAACTGCTGGCCCAATACCTGCAGCTACACACAGAGGGACACTGAATCCACCCATCTCTACTACCACTCTCCTGCAGGGTGGGGAGAGAGGGAAGTTGCACCCAGAGCTTTCTCTCTTCCTCAGGCTTAATCTACCACCCTGCTTTGCACGGCAAGTGATACCCTCCCATACATCTGCTGTAATTATAATTCAGTCTCTTCTGCACATAAGACAAGCAAAGAAGCCAGGGTCCTTCCCCATCCCTGTTCACAGGCTCTCTGGACTCACGTTGCTCAGTTACATGGGAGCAAGAGTCAGGGGGACATCAGATGCTAATCTGTTGCTTAAACCCCTGAAGAACCTGCCCATCTCCTTCCCTCACCCTTCGCGTCCTGAGCAAGCAGCATGTAAGGGACACATCTTGAAGGCAGTTCCCAGAAAGGTAAATAATACATGGTGTTTATAGAGCACATGGGGTTGAATAAGCATTTAATTAAGGAAATCCA